TAGGCCAGAAAGCGGAGAGGGAAATGGGGTCTGTAGGGTTTAGGGTTTAGGGTTTAGGGTGCTGCTAAGGTGGCAGAAGGAGGGTTTAGGGTTTGGGGGTTTAATGCGGTTGGGGGAGGGTTTAGGGTTTAGGGTTAGAGGGTAATAGGACGCGGCTTTGAAGGGGGCGGATGGCAGAGGGTTTAGGGTTTAGGGTTTAGGGTTTAGGGTTTACAGACAATGAAGGGTTGTACATAGTCTTTTTTCTCTATTTCCACTGCAGTCTAATAAACCCTAAACCCTAACTCCTTAACCAAAACCCTAAACCCTAACTCCTTAACCAAAACCCTAAACCCTAGATCCTTAACCAAAACCCTAAACCCTAAATCCTTAACCAGAACCCTAAACCCTAGATCCTTAACCAAAACCCTAAACCCTAAATCCTTAACCAGAACCCTCTTAAACCCTAAACCCTAAACCCTAAACCCTAAACCCTAATTGTACGTGTATATACGTATGTATGTGCGTATGATTAGGAGAGCTATACGACTATTGCATCAGAGAGGGCTGGGCTGATGCCCGCTTAATCGCGAAGTGGCGGAAAGAGGGCTTTGAACGACTTTGTTGTTTGCGGTGTATTCAATCGTCAGCTACGCATTTTAATACAACTTCGTAAACATCCCAAGGATTACCCTAGATCCTTAACCAAAACCCTAAACCCTAAATCCTTAACCAGAACCCTAAACCCTACTCTCTCCTATTGCTGTCTTTTAACTTATCTATGAACATTCCTTTGCTTGGAAATCTCCCCCCACCTCCCCCCCTTAAACCCTAAACCCTAAACCCTAAACCCTAAACCCTAATTGTACGTGTATATACGTATGTATGTGCGTATGATTAGGAGAGCTATACGACTATTGCATCAGAGAGGGCTGGGCTGATGCCCGCTTAATCGCGAAGTGGCGGAAAGAGGGCTTTGAACGACTTTGTTGTTTGCGGTGTATTCAATCGTCAGCTACGCATTTTAATACAACTTGCATTTGTAGGGTTCCTAAGCGGGAATTACCGCCAGATAAAAGAGTAATTCAAACCCTAAACCCTAAACCCTAAACCCTTAAAAATATTATTCATACAGTTATCTGTTCAGTGCAGGATTAGATTAACAAAATTCTGCTGCGTTTGCTGCTGTTGCTGCTGCTGCTGCTGCTGTTGTTGCTGCTGCTGTTTGTAATTTGTTTGTTTTTTATTTTATTTTTATTTTATTTTTATTTTATTTTATTTTTATTTTATTTTCAGGTTATTCAGTGCATCCACTGCGGCTGTGGCGGCTGCGCGAGCGGTGACTGACCTCAGAGCTGCCTATACACTTTGCTTGGAAATCTCCCCCCACCTCCCCCCCTTAAACCCTAAACCCTAAACCCTAAACCCTAAACCCTAATTGTACGTGTATATACGTATGTATGTGCGTATGATTAGGAGAGCTATACGACTATTGCATCAGAGAGGGCTGGGCTGATGCCCGCTTAATCGCGAAGTGGCGGAAAGAGGGCTTTGAACGACTTTGTTGTTTGCGGTGTATTCAATCGTCAGCTACGCATTTTAATACAACTTGCATTTGTAGGGTTCCTAAGCGGGAATTACCGCCAGATAAAAGAGTAATTCAAACCCTAAACCCTAAACCCTAAACCCTTAAAAATATTATTCATACAGTTATCTGTTCAGTGCAGGATTAGATTAACAAAATTCTGCTGCGTTTGCTGCTGTTGCTGCTGCTGCTGCTGCTGTTGTTGCTGCTGCTGTTTGTAATTTGTTTGTTTTTTATTTTATTTTTATTTTATTTTTATTTTATTTTATTTTTATTTTATTTTCAGGTTATTCAGTGCATCCACTGCGGCTGTGGCGGCTGCGCGAGCGGTGACTGACCTCAGAGCTGCCTATACACCTCAGAGCTGCCTATACACCTCAGAGCTGCATATACACCTCAGAGCTGCATATACACCTCAGAGATGCCTATACACCTCAGAGCTGCCTGTACGCAGCTATCTGCAGACCTCAGAGCTGCATATACACCTCAGAGCAGTGTGTAGAGCTCCGCAGCTGTCTGCATACTTCGGAGCTGCCTGTACACCTCAGAGCTGCCTGTACACCCAAAGGTGCTGCTGTTGCTGGGATGCGGGCTTGAGAGGAAACCCTAAACCCTAAACCCTCGTCAGTGTACTGCTCTCCACACGTGAGACGCGGCCTCTCAACTCTTTTTAAAGGGTTTAGGGTTTAATCGTCTGGTTAGGGTTTGGGGTGTACGTACACCACATAGACCTCGCTTAACTCCTAAAACAGCAGCAGCAGCAGTAGCAGCACCAGACAGCAGTAGCAGCAGCAGTAGCAGCAGCAGTAGCAGCAGTGGAAGCCGCAGCAGCAGCAGCAGCAGCGGTAGCAGCAGCAGCAGCAGCAGAAAGGGCATTACAGATAAAGGTGAAAGAGAGAGATGCAGAATAACGCCGAGTCGTAGAAGTACGAATTGCTTGTTTTGGGTTTAGGGTTTAGGGTTTAGGGTTTAGGGTTAGGGGTGAGTTTGAGGGTTTTGGGGTTGGCTGGGGTTTAGGGTTTAGCCTTCCGGTGTAAACCCTCACCTCTAAACCCTAATGCAGCTCTGCAACGCTCAACATGCGCTGCATGCGTCAATCGAGCCGCTGCTCTCTAGGGTTTAGGG